CCAGCCACATACACCTAAGGTGGTAGGTTCGAATCCAGGCCAGGCCCGCCAAACAACAATGATGACTGCAACCGAAAAAAAAAATAGCCAGGCGTTGTGGCTGGCACCTGTGGTCCCAGCAACTTGGAGGTGGAGGCAGGAGACTCGCTTGAGCCCAGGAGTTGGAGCCCAGGAGCCACGGCACTCTACCCAGGGGGACAGCTTGAGGCTCTGTCTCAAATAATAATAATAATAATAATAATGATAATAATATTTTCTTCTTCTTAGGCTCATTCAAAAGTTTGGCATAATTACAACATAAATTTCCGCCCACATCAGAAGGGTTGGTTATCGATCACATTGGGATCCCATTGGATTGAGCCAAACAGATCAGAAAACATGCTGGATATAGGCAAGTGCCAAGAATCCATGGTTTCTGTGCTTGGATGGTTTGCCAACCCTATCCATGGGGATGGCGACTATCCTGAGGAGCTGAAGTTGTTCTCCGACCTACCTCTTTTCTCTGAAGCAGAGAAGAATGAGGTGAGAGGCACAGCTGACTTCTTTGCATTTTCCTTTGGACCCAACAATTTCAAGCCCCTAAATACCATGGCTAAAATGGGTCAAAATGTATCACTCAATCTAAGAGAAGTGCTGAACTGGATTAAACTGGAATATGACAACCCTCGAATCTTGATTGCTGAGAATGGCTGGTTCACAGACAGTCATGTGAAAGCAGAAGATACCACCGCCATCTACATGATGAAGAACTTCCTCAACCAGGTGCTTCAAGGTTGGTTGCACACTAGTTCAATTTAAAAAATATATATTTTTAAGACTTACAGGATATCTATTTTTATAAGCATATTTTAATATTTTAATGATAAAAGGAGATATTAATGTCAATCAATTTTTATGTATTTTTTTAAATCATAGCTGTGTACATTAAGGCAGTCATGGGGGTACAATGTGCTGGTTTTATATACCATTTGAAATATTTTAATCAAACTGCATTACACTGCATTTTCTTAGTTATTGCATTAAGACATTTATATTCTACACTTAGTAATTTTAACATGTACCCTTGTAAAATGCACTATAGGTGCAGTCCCACCAATTACCCTCCCTCCCCCCATCCTCCCCCCTCCCCTCCCTTCCCTCTCCTCTTTCCCCTTCTTCTTGGGCTATAATTGGGTTATAGCTTTCATATGAAAGCTATAAATTGGTTTCATAGTAGGGCTGAGTACATTGGATACTTTTTCTTCCATTCTTGAGATATTTTGCTAAGAAGACTACGTTCCAACTCCATCCATGGACTTACAGGATATTTAAAGGCACTTTAGAATATATGAATATTATTGGACTTTTTTTTTTGAGACAGAGTCTCAAGCTGTGGCCCTGGGTAGAATGTCATGGCATCACACAGCTCATAGCAACCTCTAACTCTTGGGCTTAAGCTATTCTCTTGCTTCAGCCTTTCAAGTAGCTGGGACTACAGGCACCCACCACAATGCCTGGCTATTATTTTGTTGCAGTTGTCATTGTTGTTTTAGCTGGCCCAGGCCGGGTTCAAACCTGCCAGCCTTGGTGTATGTGGCTGGCATCCTACCCACTGAGCTACCGGTACCATTTCCCATGTCCTTTTTAAAATAAGTTTAAGAAAAAATAATTTTGGCTGGGCTCAGTGGCTCACACCTGTAATCCTAGCACTCTGGGAGGCCAAGACGGGTGGATTGCCTGAGCTTGTGGGTTTGAGACCAGCCTAAGCCAGAGCAAGACTCCATCTCTAAAAATAGTCGAGCGCTCTGACAAGAGCCTGTAGTCCCACCTACTTAGGAGGTTGAGACAACAGAATCACTTGAGTCTAAGAGTTTGAGGTTGCTATGAGCTATGACACCATGGCACTCTACCAAGGGTGACAAAGAAAGACTCTGTCTCAAAAAAAAAAAAAAATGAAAAAGAAAAAACAATTTCAGACCAGAGTTATATCCTTTTTTTTTTTTGAGACACCTCAGTAGAGCGCTGTGTCATCACAGCTCACAGCAACCTCAAACTCTCAGCCTCCCAAGTAGCTGGGACTACAGATGTCCGCCACAGTGCCCTGCTATTTTTTTATTGTAGTTATAGTTGTAGTTGTAGTTGTCAGTGTTGTTTAGCTGGCCTGGGCTGGGTTCAAACCCACCAGCCTGGGTCTATGTGGCCAGCGCCCTACCCTAGAGCTATATCCTTAATTGGCAAGAAGATATTGTTCCATTCTTTTTTTTTTTTTTTTTTTTGTAGAGACAGAGTCTCACTTTGTGGCCCTCAGTAGAGAACAGTGGTATCAGACCTCACAGCAACCTCCAGCTCTTGGGCTTAGGCGATTCTCTTGCCTCAGCCTCCCAAGTAGCTGGGACTGCAAGTGCCCACCACAATGCCTGGCTATTTTTTTTGTTGCAATTTGTCTGGGGCCAGATTCGAACCTGCCACCCTCAGTATACGGAGCCAGTGCCCTACTCACTGAGCCACAGGCGCTGTCCTTTTATTTAGAAAAGACACAATACTAAAAGAGATATGTTTAAAGTTTCCTAACAATATACAACTTATGGCTTGATGCCTGTGGCTCAAGTGGCTAAGGCGCCAGCCACATACATCTAAGGTGGCGGGTTCAAATCCAGCCTGGGCCCACCAAAACAGCAATGACGGCTGCAACCAAAAAATAGCCGGGCATTGTGGCGAGCACCTGTGGTCCCAGCTACTTGGGAGGCTGAGGCAGGAGACTCGCTTGAGCCCAGGAGTTGGAGGTTGCTGTGAGCTATGATGCCACAGCACT